CTCACTTTAAGTAAGTTTCACAACACCTTCTGCACCACAGTCTCTTTCTACCTCACACAAAATCTTACTAATTGTGTAGGATAGTTGTCAGTGGGAGAGCTATAAATGTATGCATCTATGTTGAAATGGTGATTATTCAAAACCAAGAAATCTTTAAATTCTTCCTATATGGACATGTTCAAAAGTTTGGGGTCATTAGGATTTTACTATTATTATTTTTTTAAAGAAAAATGCTTTTATTTAGCAAGGATGGAATCACAACTAATCACAACTGACAGTAAAGTCTTTTATAATGGCACAATGAAATTCAGATTTCTAATCATCAAATCATCACGGTTTCCACAAAAATATTATGCAGTAATAATATAATATTAACTAGCAATAATAGTTTTTTGTTGTTTTTGTCAGTCAGGTTTAAAGCAGGTTTGTTCTCTGACCAGTCACTCTCATCAACAGGATCACAAGATGAGAATGGTATCATCCAGGCAATACAGGACAGCCCAGCCAGATATCCTTTTTTTTTTTTCTGTGCTCCCACCCCTGTCTCCATCGACCGGCATGCTTCACCACCCCTTTCACCAGAAACACACAGTAGTAAGGCTGACTGAGTTCACCATTTGTTTACAGGCCCACTGATGTTGGTTCCGCCTTTTTCCTAATCCCATTCATCCCTAATCGGCTCAAGGATTCCACCACGCCCTGCTTTCCTGTCAGGATGGCAGCTGTTGCCCCTAGATACAGATTCTGCTGGTGTCCAGCCCCCTTTTTAAAGTTTGTGGCTTGAGGTCACAGTTTTCCACCACAACCTCAGTTAATCAACCCAGCTGGCTGACCTTGTGGTTCATGAGTTTGGGCAGAATGTTCAAGCACATGGGATTGATTTTGCATAATTGTTCTAATATCACTGTACTGTTATTGTTATGTATATTTTGGACATTAACACACATTTATAGCAGATTTGCAACCTTAACCATTCCTGCACTGTTGTCGAGCTGGTCATTTGCTTCTTCTCCATCTGGTCCATTCTTGGTCTGTCAGGTTTCCATACTTATCTTGTGGCCGCCAACCTCACAACCAACGAAGATGTAAATATCACACAAAAGCTACATCAACACTTTTAATTTAATTGCAGTGTTTCATACAGTCAGATTGATGAACAGCTTCTTTGCATTTAATGATTGCAGATTAAAGGCTCTTGGTCCAGTAAAAGAGGAGAAGAATCAGGGAATCCTTACACCTATAACAACATCTTTACAAACTGCTGTGTGGTGCTTTGTGGGCCGATGCCACCCAGGTCTGTACTGCATGCTAATGCCAACATCATAGCAGAAACAGATATTTATTTTATTATTCATTCACCTCCTAAGATTTTACTAAAGAAGCCAATATCATTGTTTGTTTGTGAGGCAATGAAAGATGTCATTTAGCTTAAAGCTGATGTACATGGATGTACATCCAGAGGTTGCGTTAGACTTTAACATTGTCCGTCATTTTGACAGACAGGGTCGTAAAAATTCCATCATAATCTATTATTAACCGTCATTTTAATTTTCATATTTTAATTATAATAACACATTTAATTGCTTGTATTTTGTTCTCATTTTCATTTTTAATAATGAACCTACAGGAAGAGCATATAGGCTTATGCATTTATTTATTTATGAAGAGAACAGATGAACAGAGACTGCACCTCACTTTTCATGTTCACCACCACACCCCGCAGTGACAGCAGAGGCCACTAAAAACAAAACATGCTAGGGCTGGGTAAAAAAATATTGATTTTAATAGATTCTCATTTTTATGAACCAATGTCGATTCTTAAATCTCAATCTATGCTGTTTTCAGTTGATGAATGAACCGTAGCCTACATATAGTATGTGCGCCTCCTAGGGCGATATAGCTAAAAAATGTATCAACGATATAATGTTTCATATCGTTCGGTATCGATAATTATTTACATTTTTATTAACCGTCATTTTAATTTTCATATTTTAATTATAATAACACATTTAATAGCTTTTATTTTTGTTCACATTTTCATTTTTAATAATGAACCTAGTCGTGTCCCATCCAATAAATCACAATAGGCTAAGCTTTGTCCTTTGTTACTTTTGATATGAAACAAAGTCTCAAGATTTCAAATTCTGTCCATTTTATTAGGAAATTCAAGCAATAAATTTTGGCGCTCTTTAATGTGGCGTGATAGATCACTGTAGACACCTCAGATCAAGCGAAGCGGCAGTGGACGTGAACTGATCATCTCTTTCGCTTTACTAGTGGATACTTACCTGTGCGTTATCAAAGGCATAACAAAAGACTCGTGACAGTAACTATGTTTCCATTCGCCTATTTTTATGCACATTTTGGAATATTGCATAAAAAACGCTGGATGGAAACGCCAAGATGTGCATAAATTCTAAAAATGTGCATAAAAAACATGATCACATTTGACTAAGAAACTTTTTATCGGATAATAAAAAATGCACATAAACTATGATGGAAACACATTTACCAAATAAATTCCTCCATGCGCATCGAAAAAGTCATGTGACTTTGCGCTGTGAGACGGGATAACTTGACTAGCAGCGGACCGATCTCGTTCACAGCATCTATATGAAGAGTTTGGTTCCAAGATTTTTTTTTTTTGAGTTCCCGCCAAAATCAGTATTGTATCTGGTCGGTATTGAAAAGTCCATTTTTAATTTTACGCAAAATGCGATATCCGCCGTGTTATTCTGTCATGTTTTCTCCCTATCTTTTCAAACCGCGACAAACGCCAGTCTCCCTTCTCTGCAGAATGCGATACGTCCGCTGAAGAAAACACATTTTTACTCAAATTAATCAAAAGGGATTTATAGCGTTTTGGAACCAAACTCTTCATATGTTGTTATGGTCATTCTGAAATGCCTAAGCAAAGTCTGTCGTCAAAGTATTTCTGTATAATGGTCTTACACAACTGAGTTCCCAAACAGCTGGCATCCACCTCCGAAAGCAATGACCACATTTATTGTCTTTCATCTGCTCGCTCTGAGGCGCAAGTGATTTATTATATATGAAAATTATTGTATTCAGTGGCTTTTCCTAGTTTTCTAAGTGATATTTAGTGCCAGTTTACCAGGAAGTGACGATTTTGTTCTCTTTGACTCGTTGGATGGAAACGGTGCTTTATTCGCAAATGTTTTAAGTGATATCCCAGTTTTGCGGATAAGTTTAATTCGAATCTTTGGATGGAAACATAGCTAGTTTTATTTTTGTTCTGGAGCTGATGATCCCGCGCTCTGCTTCCAAACTGGAGCGCCCTCACCACCAACTGGACAGGGGTGGGAATTAAGGCCGGGACACACCAAGCCAACTTCAAAGAACTAGTGGCGACGAAAGCCGACGGTGTTGTCCGCTCACGTCGGCAGCGTCGGACCAAAAAGCTGTGCTCGAACACACCGCACAGACTATAGCCAACGGCAAACTAACATGTGCGTTCTGCACATGCGTGAGCGGAATTAACTGTCTATATCAGCAGCTATCAATAGTATATATTTGTCATTCAAAATGAGAAACCGAAACAAAGATATACGAGATAAACGCAGATATACGAAACGTAAACAAAGCAGTGCTTGCTTACTATTTTGAATATCAGTAACGTTGATAACTTTAATCATTTTAAGCAGCTCATGTTGTTATGAAAACATTCGCGTATTAGAATGATTGGGAAAGGTCACGTAACATTTAAACAGCCTTCTGTCTGTACCGCCTTCATTTACGTGCTTGTTTTCATCACTTTCGCTTTAATTCTCGGGCACTGACTCGTTCGCTAAACTGAACATCCAATCAGAGCTCACTCGCGCCAACGGTCCCGACGCCGATTCAACATGTTGCCAATTCAACTGCCGCCGACGTGAGCCCGACGAGAGCCGACGAGTGGAACACACCAAACGAACTAGGCCGACCGTCGCTCGCCGTGTGTCCCGGCCTTTACAGTTATAAATTACAATATATCACCCCCAGTGTAATCTGTCAAAGTGACGGACGGCCTTCAGATTTTTTCGTCACTGCTAAAAAAATAATTTCCGGTTATCGTGACCTCTGTGTACATCCTGTCCTCAGTACATACTGTTACAAACAAGAACACATTTTGTCAGATCTGACTTTTTAATTGTACAGTTCTTTGACATGATGGCCCATCTTTAATTGTACAGTTCTTTGACATGATGGCCCATCTTTCCCAGTTAAGTCTGTGCTGTGTTTTGAAAGTCAAGTCACAAAAGGTCACACGCTCATCCTGTCATCTTTTGTAGCTTGATTGACAGAAGAGGCTTTTTACCTCCAGATGACGCACCTCAAACAGTGACCTCTGACACTGAGCTCCCTCCTTTCATGTCTAAGAATGACGCAAATATGGTAAGAGTGCCTTCAAGTTCAAGGAGCATTAATTCCTAAGTATTTTTTAAAATAGTTGAAGCATTGTAGCAATAGTTTAAAATCCTGATACATTAGTCAGTCAAAAAACATTCCATGGCATTTCAAGTCATACACTACCGCTCAAAGGTTTGGGGTCAATAAGATTTATTTTAAATTAATTAATTATTTTATTCAGCAAGGATGCATTAAATCGATCAAAAGTGACTTTTGCATCGTTACAAAAACTATTTTTCAAATAAATGCCATTCTGTTTAACTTTCTATTCATCAAAGCCTTCTGAAAAGAATTCATCACAATTTCCACAAAAATAATAAGCAGCACAACTGTTTTCAACATTCATAATAATGAGAAATGTTTCTTGAACAGCAAATCAGCTTATTAGAATGATTTCTGAAGGATCATGTGACACTGAAGACTGGAGTAATGGCTGCTGAAAATTCAGCTTTGTATCACAGGAATAAACTACATTTAAAAAATACATTAAAATAGAAAATAGTCATTTTAAATTGCAATAATATTTCATAGTATTATTGTTTTATTACTGTATTTTTGATCAAATGAATGCATTCTTGGTGAGCATAAGAGACGTTTTTCAAAAAGATTTTACCAGCCCCAGACTTTTGAATGGTAGTGTAAATATGAACAGAAACCAGGACAGATCTGAAACCATAAACTTTGTTACAGGAAAGCATGTGAAAATGAATGAGGTTATCCTAGTTTAATCATGTTTATTGTAAACCCTGGCTTGCTGGGAAAGAGCTCATATTTACAGTTAGTAAGGCTTGCACCTGTTCTGTTTGATGTGTAAAGATATGCACATAGAAAAATGTAGATGGATGACAAATGCAACAGCACATAAATCTTACAGAAGACTGTGGAGTCACGTTTCAGTCAAAATTTAAACAAGGTGCCAATTCAGGTTACAAATGCTATTTTGAGACATTTTTGCCACTGCTAGTTGCAAAGCTAGAGTAGAGTGAAAGCATGCCAAAAAGGATAGATTTAACTGTAAATTTTGATGTTCACAAATGCCATCGTTTTAGTTTTGATATTGACTTGCATCAAGCCCTAATGTTTGAAGTTCTGAACCTCACACAGGAGGAGAACTGTCAGGAGTTTGCAAACTCCTGCACTGCCTGAAGGCTCCTGCAGCTCTGTGACATTTGATGGTAAGGGTGTGTTATGGGGCTGTTTGCATGCCATTCCATGGCCGCCTTCTCATGACTCTTTGGCCTTTGCTTTGCCTTTTATTTGAACTGTCAGCTTGGCTTCCATTTCTTTGCTTTAAAACCACTAGCATAAGACGTGTCCATCATGTGAGAGATCATTGGTTCCTTCTTTGCTCCTGGATGAGTTGACTGTTTTAGCTGACATCTGTTTTTACTGTTCATATATTAGTGTCGGCCAGAGGTCTGCAGTTGTTTAGTTTTTCCTCCATGATGTCATTGCTTCCTAATTAATGTATCATCAGCATCACGATTCATCTGTGCTTCTCTCATTCTCATCCACTCTTGGGATTCTGGTGACTGAGGTCATGGTAATGCTTGGCGTTAGTTATCATGCACACATGTTCTTTTCCACCTTCTCTCATGATGGATGTTCATCCTGATGTTTAGGAGGTGTTTTCATCCTCGCGACCCCTGGAGATCCCCTTATAATATCAGCTGCACTGCTTGAGCTTATCGTATACTTTGAAGTGAAATGCTTTGTTTCCATTTGTTGCTACATTTTCATCTTATTAGTTCCGTGGCAATACTAACCTGCTTTCAAACTTATTCTAATCTGGCCATTTTCTCATACTCATACTTGCTTTGCTGTCTAACATCAGTTGCCATTTTCTTACCCCCAAAAACATTTATGACTATGATCTTTGTATTTTGTCTCTTAACTAGGGCTGCACAGTATATTGAAATAAATATAGCAATATGGCTTGTGATTTTGAATTAAATGTACAGTATTCTTTACTGGTTTCAAGCATGGCATTTACACAGATATTGTTCATGATACAGTGTTTCAACGTCTGAGAACATCTTGGTTTATTTACTGCAAATGGAGCCCTTCTGAGACACTGATATCATGGGCTGTAAGCATGTAAATGAATACACAGAGACTAGCTTCACTCAAACCGACAACCCATCAAAATTAAAGCTTGATGGTTTACCATTTGAAAATTGAGTATAAAATTAAAAAATACATTTTTATACTTTATATATTTTTTTATAGTTTATTTATTTATTTTATGGTATTATTACAATGTATTATTTAATATTTTTGTTTCATAATATTAAAATTTCAATATTCTAATCAATAATCACAATAAAAACATGACTATTATTTTATAGTCTTATTGAATTGGTCAAAAATAGTAGGAATGTTGCCTATAAGAACTCAAGTGAAAGAGGTTTGAGTTGGTTCTTGTAAAAAGTAAACCCAAGTGTGAACACTCAGATTTCCCCCAAATCTTGAAGCCCTATAGGATTTTATACTCAAAAAAATTTTAAAAGTAATTTTTATTTTCTGTGCACTCCCTAACAAAGTCACCCCACTAACTCTAGAATGACTCAGTATTTCTAAATCTAGTTATTCAAGTAATCATATCGCTATATATTGCAGAAAAACAAAATTATTGCAATGTCACATTTTTCTAATATTGTTAGGGCCCTATGAAATCCGTTTCATTTTTTCCCAAATTCCATTTTATTTTATTTTTTGTCCAAATTCCATTTTTTCCGTTTAAATTTTTCTTGATTCAGTTTTTTTTTTTGGTCTGTGTCTGCACCATTCCTTCACTTAGAGGCACGTAGAAAATGCAGGATTCATATTTAAATAGTCTTTTTGCGGCTTTGTATTCACAGAAACTAGTCCATATTGCATTTTTATACAGACCTACTTTTGATTTATTCATCCAAAATTTGGCAAATTCCGTTACATTCCACGTCATACAGTAAATTCCATTTTTATGACTGGATTCCGCGATTCTGTCCACATTTCGGAAATCATATGGCCCTATATTGTGAAGCCCCACTCTTAACCATTTTTTTCTTGCCATTCTTTTCACAGTGCACACAGGGCACAAAGGAGCTTTTAGAATCAATGGCACACTCCACAGTGATCCAGAGCACCTGTGTTCCGGGCACACCCAAAACTGCCCCGGTCACCCAAGAGAGTCTACTACGTACCGTCTCTATCACCGTCTCTCCCCCCAACAGGCCTCATTCTACTGGCTGCTCAGGCCGCCAGGCCCGGCGCCCCATAGACGTTTCCTGCTCCCAGAAAGGGAACAAACGGGCCGCTCTTCACACCCATAAACCCATGTTGCATGTACCCAGCCCTCCCTACTCCCACGGCCGCAGTCCACTCACTCTTAGTGATGCTCCCGACATGGGCTTCATCCCACTGAACTGAGCGCAGTATCTCTGCCACCAGCAGCCTTGTGCAAATACTCTCCTCTCAGTTACCACTTTGAGAACAGCATCACAATTTTTTAAGAAACTGTGACTTACTATACTCAGGATCATCTTGGGAAACATACCATCTTTCAACAAATGGGAATAAGCCTGCATTGACTTTTTTAAATAACAGTGGGATTTCAAGATTTTTTTGTTCCGTTAACATCAACATACACTTGGTGGAGAGAAACGCGAAACATCTTCAGAAGATGCTTTTGTTTTTCAGTCATTTTGCACAAAAATATCAGCAGATGATCAGTGTTTTATGGAAACTCAAGCCATTTTTTCAGCCTTTTGACATCTGCTTAGACCTAATGCAATAATTATATGCTTTGAAAGGTCAGTTGGGTCTAAAAAAAAGCCTTATTTCAGAGTCACTTCTGTTCATTTTGTGTGGTGTTTAAGACCTTTTACAATAAAGTCATTGGTTAAAAAGTATTCGCACCAACAGCCAAGTGTATAAACAGCAGTTTTAGGAATGGGTATCAGAGAGCTCAGGATTAGAGGGTTAGTGATTTATTTGTGTACGTGATACAATGTTACTGTTGGTCCAGGGGTTTTTATCTCCTGTATAATGTTGCGGCTACCAGTGAGTGAATTAACAGCTTTCATATTTACGTTTGTTTTGTGTCCATTTAATACAGGGGTTTTCCTTCATTTAAACATTTTCGGTGGCATCCTAATGCAAATGTAATAGTATTTGATGCAATATTTTTCCCTTAAGATCATTGTCTTCATCTTGATTTCTGCCTTTTTAGATCCAAAGTGCTGAAGCACAGCTTGAACCACAGAACACAAAGCCTGTGACTCATTTAAATTCTACTGAGAGTTTTCTACTTTAAAGTACTTGGCAACGCTATTGCACATTTCAGTTTTAACTAATGCATTAATTAGTTAATGCATTAGGTATCATGAACTAACAATGAATAAATAAAATGTTTTTACAGCATTTATTAATCTAATAAATGTTCAATTTTACATATAATACTTTATAACATTTCAAGGCATATCAATAAACATTAATGTATTATGAACAAACATTACTTACATATAATTTAGATTAAACATTTATTTAAAAAGCTATTTTTCATTTTCATTTTAAGCTTACCAAATGTAAAAGTGTTCAAATTCTGTAATTCGACATGTAATTGTATAATTATAAAAATTAATTGCAATTTGTGTAATCAGTCAAATTTGCACATGTGTATATAAGCTACCACCGAAAATCATTTTTAATCTAGGAAAAACCCTGTAGTATTTCTGACTTTTCATTGGTGGGTCAAAGATTGTTTTTTGATCGTTATTAAAGTGTTTTTACTAAGCTTGAGAGAAGAACTGTTGTAACTGAAACCTTTTGCCTTGAGATTGATGGATTACTGAAGAACTGAGTTATTTACATCATCATTAAGATGATCATCATTACGGTTTTTTTTTTAAAATAAATAGGAGTCTGGCAAAGTAATAAAATTGACAGTAAAAGTTTCAAAATAATTTGCTCCTCTAACAACATAGACTTACAGAAGTTGATCACTGCCAGCAGTGTTAGAGGAAAAGTAAACGAATGTATGACTTGTTGTGTTTTGTGTTGTTATCCTTTTTCACCTGAAGACTTCATGACAAAAAGTAATAAACAAATGTTCTTTCCACTTGTGATTTAGTTGCCTAAATGTTTTCATCTGGTTTTGAGAGACACAGTCTCACATAACATCTTTTGTTACCTTCTGTGATCTGCTGCATGCCAGACATGGCGCATTCATTTAAACAGTAGATGGCACAGTTTTCCACTTCTTTTTTGCATGTGTCCAATGAGGACAATGTATTTCCTGGAGGCATCGTTGATTGATTGCTTGCTTGATTGATTCAAGCATTTGCATTCACAGTACTTGAGCTATTTTGAATGTGATATTTGGCTTTACCACAGTGCCATCGAGCTGACATTTATTCTGGTTTGATGTAACGGGATTGGATATGGGAAATGCTGAAATGCATAATTGTAGGGTTGCTGTATTTTAGTCTAGTCTAACAAAAAGATGCGGGAGCAGTAGAGAAGAACAATCATCAGCTGAGTTTTTTACCTTTCTGTTGGTACTCAGCAGCTTTAAATAGAAAGCGCCAAGCCATAGTCATACATTTCAAAGTGTTTTTCATTTAGCCCAGAACTATCCTTAATTATCCCCATGCATCCCTTGCCTAGAGATTCTGTCATTAAAAATATGGCAACCCATCGTATAGCCAACCTCCCGGGACTCTAGATGAAAATGTATCAGTATCTGGGTAAAAAAGGAATTGATTTCCTGACAGAATACCACAGTTCTGAGAAGCTGGCACTTGCAGTAAATAGGTGAAATTGCTACAGAAGTTGATTTGAGGATTTGCTTTGTTGTTACATGTCATTCGGAGCGACTATGGTTGGCATAAGCTCTTCCTTTGTAATCAGTGAACGTTTTCTAATACCTATACTGTAAAAGTGATTTTTTTTTAAGTCACTCAACTCACCCAACATCAAATGTGGTTATAGTGTCTGTCACTGCAAAGCCATGAAATAAGGTTGTTCGGGTTAGACCACATCCTCTTATCCAACTACAAGATTCAAGAGTCAGAAGCATGTAGTGGTTATGGATCACGTTGTAGACGATGGCTTCACCGCTCTCTCCACAGACTTTTGTCTGGACCGCTTCACACTGGCAAGACGATATTACAAGTTGCTATTTTTCCACCTACGCCAATCTCAATTAAGCAAAAATGAACACTGTCAGCATGTAGTAATTTGTACCTTCTTTTTCAATCTCAGATACAGAATCATCCTTCTTAGCCACTTTGATATTATATAAAATTACAGGTGTTTATCTTCTTTGTAGATACTAACAAAAAATAGTTACGACTGTTCATAACACTTTAGTGGTGATTGCTAAGGCTGTTACTATTGCATGCTTGGAGTTAAGGATTTGAACATTTGTGCTGCACACATCATTTTCACTTTACAGACGATAAAATGTGTGTTAATGTTTTTAATTACTGATCTTTTTAGCAAGTCGGTGATATCTCTTTTTTTAATTAAATGTGTTTGTATCAGTGTCACATTGTTTCTTACCATTTTGACTGTACTCTGACTTCAAAAGCTAACCCCATGATGCATTTCGTATTTTATTTTTTTTACCTTAGCAGATTTGCAGTCTTAGATTTATTAGTCTAGCAAAAGATGAAGCCAAGGTTTCCCAGCATCTGTGTCCAATATTAAAAGTACCACATGTCAGAGTGATCCGACAAAGAGACATTTTTGCATTAATCTTTGCGGTTTTTTTAATGCCTATTTTCATGTTAATTTTTATTTTTATTTTTCATCATAAACGTGTCAGTTTAGCTTAATTGTGCTAGTACGGGTTAGAATTCCTATATTTGGAATTTAATTACTTCTGCACTTGTGTTATGCTGGAATTGTTCATTTGTGAAAGTTTGTGAAAGTGCTTCTTCTGTTTTCATCGATTGGATTTCATGTAATGATGAGTCACGGTTAATCAACAGTCAAGAAATCATATGCCAGTGCTTTTATGCTCACATTATCTTGTGATGATGTTCTATAGTCTTTTGAGTACTACAAAGGTTTCGCTGGCACAGGTCAGATGTAGAGACGAGAACAGTATTTTATTGCAGATGTCAAGGGCAGTGATTGATCAGGCAAAACCATAATGCTCTTCAGATGGACGTCTTGTCCTATATGTGAGGGTTTGAGCTCTTCAAAGATCCAAGTTCATGTCCTCCTCTGTCTCTGATTCTTTTTGAGCCAGGATAGCAGGACTGCATTGATTTAGGCATGGCTTATGTGTCTGAAGATTCAAGATTCACTCACTTTAAGGCCTGTGTTGGTGTGCTAGCTTTCTTTTTACAGGCCAGTCATATTGTTTGATTTACGACAATAGTAGTGGGAGCACATCTATTCTAGGCTGAAATTGTCATTAAATTACACAATTTAAAGAAGCCATTATATATATATATATATATATTTTCCCCTCTGAAGTCCACATGTAACTTCCAAGGTTTTTTGTGCCAAATTAAGTTGTAATTTAGTTTTTCATGATAATTTTAAACTTTAGCTACTGTGCTTCGAAAATTGACTGTGAACAACATAAACTTACTATATTTAAAACTTCTTTCAGCATGAATGTTCTTCAAAGTTTCTTTTTTTATGTTCCTTTGAAGAATGCTTGAATCGACATGAAGATGAATAAATAATGATACAATTAAATCATGGCTAATTAAAAAATTTGAGGTCAGCAAGATTTTTTTTTCACGTTTTTAGATGAAAAGGCTGGAGCTGCATTTATTTCATCCAAAATATATTAAAACCGTTATGTTGTTAAGTATTTTTACATTTTAAATAAACTATTTTCTATTTTAATACATTTTAAAATGTAATCTATTCCTGTGATGGAAAAACTGAATTTTCAGTAGCCATTACTCCGGTCCTCAGTGTCACATGATCCTTCAGGAATCATTCTAATTATGATGTATGTAGGCAAAAAATGCAGATCAATTACAGCAAACAGTTACAGTGACATAAAAAAAAGGCCAAAGTATATTAACATCTTACATAAATTATGAGCTTATGTAAATGGAAGGGTGTAATAATTGCAAAATTGACCCAAAAATTAAAATCATTATTTACTCACCCTTACGTTTCATGCCTACATGAATACCTTCGCTCGAACACAAAGGAAGAATGAGAAATTCGTTCATGCTGAATTTTTAAACTGAGAAACCCTTACCTCTTTTAAAGTATTTCTCATGATGTACGATCCCATTAACAACAATCAGAACAGATCTCCTCATAAACAATAGCACTAGTAAACAATAAAACGATATCTGTTTGAAAGCATTGCGCTTGCCAAAACCTCAGAACTATTACAAGCATCTCATTTAGTCTAGCACGATACTGATATCTCATTGCTTTCAGGCATGCTTTTTTCTGAAGATTTTTAAATTAGCTGTGTGAGAGGAAAATACAATAAATTACGGAAGGGTGAATATCATATTGTGTGTTCATGTGTCAAACGCGCTTGAAGAGGACCTACTTCGAGCACATGGAGAAGATTAAAAGGGAATGTCTAAGTTTATGGTATTTCCTCACAGTCACTGCCACTGCACTGCTTATCAAATCATTCACCGAAACACAACCTAGTTCTATATGTGACCCTGGACCACAAAACCAGTATTAAGGGTCAATTTTTCGAAATTGAGTTTTATACACCATCTAAAAGCTGAATAAATAATCATTGTTATGATAGGACGATATTTGGCAGAGATACAACTATTTGAAAATCTGGAATCTGAGGGTGCAAAAAAATCTAAATACTGAGAAGTGCAAAAAAATCTAAATACTGAGAAAATCGCCTTTAAAGTTGTCCAGATTAAGTTCTTAGCAATGCATATTACTAATCAAAAATTAAGTTTTAATATATTTACAGTAGGACATTTACAAAATATCTTCATGGAACATGATCTTTACTTAATATCCTAATGGTTTTTGGCATAAAAGAAAAATCAATAATTTTGACCCATACAATGTATTTTTGGCTATTGCTACAAATATACCCCAGCGACTTAAGACTGGCTTTGTGGTCCAGGGTCACATATTGTCCTCAGCCAAATCGGAGTGACAGCAAATATGGTCTTAGCAGTTTTAATTTCCTTCACATTTTCTGTGCCCTCCGTGAGAAGTCATTCAGTCTTGTCTCAATCAGTTGGCTGTGCTAATGAATGAGACACAATATGGGACAAAGGTGTTCAGGGCAGTCCATGTAACAGATTTGTTAATGGCTTCATCTGAGAGCCTCTGCAAATCACCCTTCAATTGTAATTGGATCAGTTACCTGGCAGGTAAAGGATCAGCCAAAGCTTGCTAATAGACAGGGAGTTGCATTTACTCACAATTAATTCTCATTTGCCTTCCAGTGATGCAGTGACTACTGAAAGTCACATAATATTGGATGGTAATGGATAACTTGTTTTAACAGTTTGAATCACTACATAATTTCACAAATAATGAGTCAAATGTGAACCTTTTCCTCCTTGAAGTGCAATAGACCACCCACACACCATGCCGCTGTGATATACTGTTCAAGGGCGAAGGTTACAGCCTCGTTTTAAGTCAAATAATTACTCTGTCTACACATGATTTGAACATGTAGCTGTTGTAATACAACTGAAGCAATAATGTTTACTAGAATAAAATAGAATACATCAATTCTAATTTTTATTTAGTTTATCTAGATTAAAATAGCTAAAACTGAAAAATAAATATATATATATATATATATATATATATATACATTAAAAGCAAAAACTAATAAAAATAACTAAAACTTTAACGACAATTAAAATGAGGCTCCATTAAAACATTCTAATTTGTTAATTCAAAACCAGTTGTATAATGGTCAAACCTGTGTAATTTTCTCTCTTCATTGAACGACAAAAGAAATTTCGAAGAATGATGAAATTTCATGCTGCTCTTTTTTTGTACGTATGACAAGAGATTAAGAAATCTGACCACATAATATTATTTGAAATCTTTTTAAATGGCCTTTTCAAGTCATCGACTCTGTATGGTAGTGCTAAATAAGGATTGTAAAATTTTATTGAAATGAGTACAATAAAGATTTTAGCAAAAGTTTTTTTTTTTTAAAGAACAAAGGTTGTCATGGTCCATTGTACAGGAAAGGAAAGTACTCAGAATCACGAATACGTATCTTTGGTTTGTTAGCAGGTCATTTCTTATCAGGATCCTGTAATCATGACTCTTGCTGATATGCTTCCCTCCATCTCTAATGGGGTCATTGCTTAATGTTGCTGGATAGCAAACTTAAACGTTCATTTGAACTCATCAGAACTTATTTCTCTGCAATGTAACTGTAAATCTGTTACAGTTTGTGTTAGAGTCTGTGAATGTAAAAAATGAATATTCTGTCATATTTTACTCAACTACCTTTTGTTCCCAGCCTATTTGACTTACTGCTTACAGTTTATTTCTCACACAAATGACTTAAGAAGTGCACAAGTCCTACAGACCATTTTTTTGGTACTTTTTTCATCTTTGAAGCTTGACATCTCTTGACCTCCTTTCATTATTTGAAAAATGGTAACAAGCTCATTATTAAAAATGTCTCTTTTTATGTTTCGCAGAAGAACGTAAGTCATACCGGTTTGGAACAATACGAGGGTGAGTAAATAACAGACTTTTCATTTTTGGTTGGGAGACAAGGCTGGGTAAATAATGCTAGTTGAGCAGGATATTAAACTCCTCCTGAATTTTTCTTCAGCACATTCACAGAAAGTTCCTTAATGACAGCCCATAAATCTGAGAGTGTAGTGACACATTAAACTAGCTCCTTTTGATGTCCAAAACAATCTGCTTATCCTCATAATACCGTGCAAAATCCTCATAAAATCACAGTTAAAAGGTCAGCTTCCACAAACGCTCATGTACGTGACAGCGAATTCCCCAACGTTTGTTATGACGTTTTATTCATCTTCTTATCTGGTTATTCCCTTATTACTTTTAGGACATATATGATAACATCTTTTTAACAGCACATCTGTTTTCAATGACTAATAGGTACGTTTTGATAAAGAGAGACGTTATTGGTTATGTAACAGAGCCTCTATGCGTTAAATAGGTCATAGCAGGTGCATCAGCAATAAAGGAAGGCCTGATAAGTGTTTTCATAAACCTAGTTGTGTTTAGCTAGCTAATACAGGCTAAGTCAAGCTAACTTCCAGTAA